TATTTATGAATCCATCTATATTAAACTATTTCTAAACATGTATATTTAGAATGTCTTACTTTCATAAATGTCGGTTTTATTTAAAGTTTTATTTTTGCGTATGATTTGTATGTATTCTTAAGGCAAGATTTTAACCTTTAATGTTTCTTGACACTAAGCAATTTGAACATTGTTCATTACTTTCAAACAATTTAAACAAGAAAAAGAGTATTAGAAATAGTTTCAATTTTAATGAAACTTAGTCAATTATATATTTTCTGGCTTGATATATTATGGCAATAGAAGTCATTTGAGCCGCGCCATGACAAAACCAACATAATGGGTTTGCGACCAGCATGGATCCAGACCAGCCTGCGCATCCGGGCAGTCTGATCAGGATCCATGCTGTTCGCTGTCAGTTTTTCTACTTTTAATACGATTGGTAAGCGAACAGCATGGATTCTGATCAGACTGCGCGGATTTTTTAAAAATAAGTCAATGTTCATGTAATTTACTTTTTTTTGTTCACATTTATTACAATGTCACGAATGTGTTTCCTATTCTAATTAAAATCTGGGACCAAAAATATATTATTGTTCCAGTTAAAATATACAAACCAGGGTATGATTTTTTTAAAACTAACGCAGAGGTAAAGATAAATCTACATCTCTGATAAACGTTATTGCTATGACGAAACTGGTAATATCTTTTTCTAAATTTATATACTATTAATGCACGTTAACTTGTGTGCAAGATTTCAGATTATTCGCTCACTCCATTTTTCCATGACCCAAAATTGAAAAGATGTTAAAGGCTTTTAACCCAAATCGGACAAGAATTACACAAAATCGCGGATTTATATATTACTTTGTAATTAAGATCCTTGACAACATAGAATTTATCAAATCTGAGTATATATATTTATTATATAGAGGATATTTGTTTAGTTCAGTGTAAGATCGGAATATATTTCACCGAGTGAGCACCAAAATGTATATTTCACGAGCGGCGCAGCCACGAGTGAAATATGAACTTTTGGTGTTCACAAGGTGAAATATATTTCGATCTTACACTAAACTAAACAAATTTTCTTTTTATTTTATGCAAAGGAACGTTTTAAAAAGACATTAAACCTAATATTGAATGAAAAGCGCGCCAAATAATAATACAACGTGACATCATTTACGACGCCACGTCATTAAGTTGGTACCCAGTACTGTGCAAGCTGGTATTTCACTGAAACAACGTGAGGGGATTAAATTCAAAACAGTGAAATTATCAAAGTGGTAATTTCACTTTATCACATTAACCGAGGCGCAAGAGTGTAATAAAGCGATATTACACTAGACGATATTACACTAGTGTAATAACATTTTGACGTCACAAAGCGTTAAAGCGCGCTAATGTTAGCGTTACACTATAGGCGCGTCAAAGAGAAATGACTCTTGATAACAGTTTATCGTTCTTATTTTATATATGTGATAAATAGAATATTTAATTCGTGTAGATTCAATACCAAATTTATTGAACTCATTGAATAAAACAATATGATTTTATTCAACTCGTTCAATAAATTTAGTATTAAACGTATACTCATTCAATATCCTCTATGTTTAAAACAGTGAAATTATCAGTTTTTATTCCACTGATATATTTCTATAAACCACCGAAAAGCATGTAATAAATACCTATAAATGAAATATTGAGAAATATTGATGAAATGCAACGCTTATTTTCATTTTCGTGCTTTCACTGTAATAAGTACTTTAGTGAAACATATTTTCTGTGTTTTCACTGGTGTCTTTCCGGACTTCTCTCTTTTTTTTAAAATTCTGCCAGTACACAAAATTTAAGGAATAGTCTTCCAATTTTAAATAGAGACAAATGTATATAATAAACAGAAAATAAAAGTTTTTTTTTCTATAAATACATGATTTATTTTCATCTTGTGACATGAAAATTATTACATTTCACTCGTGGCTACCGCCACTCATAACATATTTATTTTCATACCACTTGATGAAAATAAATCGTGTATTTACAGAAAAAAACTTGAATATCCTCTATATATTTTAACATATTTTGCATATTTGTCCGTTTTAAATGTCCAGGCAGTTTATCCATGTAAGAATGTATTTTTAGGTTTTAGGACCACAATGGAACTCCTTTGATTAAATACTATAACAAACTTATATATTATAAACCGTTTTTAACTATAAGGTCCCAGCTCCTTTTATATTTCATTTTGATTACACTTCCAGTTGTTTTTCCGTCTTAATGCTCGAATGACGAATAAAAACTGTTTCGCGCATGTCACGTGATGGTGTGCCAACCACGTTAACTGTTTGGTTCTTCCGAATTATCCAGGCGGGGAACAATAGTTTCATATAAATACATAGCAAATTAAATCGTGTGACTGAAAAGAGATCGGAAAATGTTTTAACGGATTTATTTAGTAAAGTTTTTTTGGTGAGAATCAATCAGTGGTTAAACATACAAGATTGCCCCCGAGCGCTCAAGATTCATGGTCGAGTGATTTTCCATGCACTTTACTGTTAGCTACATTTGCGTGAAGTTTGTGAGAGGAATGTGACGGAAACAAAAGTATGGCAGGTTTGGAATTTTTGCTTTTATTTTAGGACGTCAAAGAACTTAGTATCAATCAAAAATGTAAGTTATTTTATATTTTATTAATAGAAACTATATAACCGAAACGTAATATTATTACACATGAAAATCGGGAAAGCGTTACTGTTTTGTTTGGGTTTTTTAAGGAAAAAAAGTAAATATTTCACAGAAAATCCGGGAAATGTTATTGTATCAAATCAAATATTTTTCGTAGGTACAATTTGTTTGACACAAAGTTAAATTTTCCATGAATAAGGACTTTAATTATAAATTAGCATTAATCATAAGGATTAAACATGCTAAACTTTTAATTTTTCATGTGACGTTTCTATCATAGTTAACGTTATTTTTGACCATTATGATAATTGGCTTATAATATTAAACAAAATACAGATATGAATAATTGATAGTTGGCATATGAGGTCTAACAAAGTTTTGACACGGATGATTGACGTGTGATATGTAAAAATGATGGCCATGTTGATGACAATGTTGTTTTGATGAGGACGTCCATTGGTGTTACAATGATGATGAAATGATGTTGTTCAAGTGGGCATCAGGTAAATCTAGTTATTTATAGAAAATAGCTTTTTTTAGAAACTAGTTATTTTTAGACAAATGAGTTTTAACTTTTTTCCGTAAGTTTTATCAGTTTCAGAAGATGAAATTTCAAAAGGAACCAATGAACTTGCAAGTAATCATACTATATCGGGCCATGCTTGTGGAACAAGGACAGCACACATTAAGCAACATTAAAACAGCATACTTATTTAATCCAATTTACATTTGGAAAATATACATATGCAATATATACATGTAAATTGTATTATGTCAGTAACTGAAATTGCTTAGAATTACAAAATTTTATTTTAGAAATGAAAATTTTTTGTCAAAATTGAAAGTATGTTGTATGTTTATGTATATTGACGATATTTTGTGTGCATTGTTTATATCGATTTTGGTTGTTTTGGTTTCTTTCTCAAATTTTTGGAGTTGGTGTGTGATTGGGGTTATTCGATTTGGGTTCAGTGTTTTAGTTTGCCTCTTTGTGGGAGTTGTTTATGTGTGTTATGGTAGTTTTTCTTTGTCTTTGTTGGAGTTGTTAATGTCATTTGTGTGTTATGGTTGTTTTTCTTTGTCGAAAATTCAGGCCTTATTTCTGAATAGTTTGGGAATTGGTGGTCGATAAGACAGTTGATTCTTTGCTGATACATTGTGATCGATTTGAAAATTTTGGATTTTGGATTTTGTTATACATGTACATGTACTAGTCGAATTATTATTATTCATCATTTCAAATAGTTATATCAATTTCATTAGAAATGGGAGACACATTTATAGTTATATTGAATTTTTAGCTGTACAATACCCAATTTTGTATAATTATATTGATGTTTAATAGTAATGTGATATTTTTGATAATTATATTAATACATAGGTGGAGAATGCGACAATATATTAAAGATAACATTGATTCTTTTAGATTTAGAACGTTACATTTCTAATAATGATATTTGGGTGTTGAATGCGACATTTTTTATAATTATATATACTGATTATTTTAGATGCAGAATGCGACATTTTAGACTAGTAGAATATTATTGTTCTTTGGTTTTTTGTTTGTTTTCAGATGACCTAAGAAAACATCACTGGATTACTTTTGAAAGATAAAACTAGATGAAATTGTATATTTCTAAATATTACCACTATAATAATTCAGGCTATTGAAAAAAATGTTTATTGATCATTTAGCATAGTAAAGCAGGAAATGGCGGGAAGAATCCTAGCAGACGACAATTGTCGCGCAGACTGCCCGAAATTACAGACAGGCCCAACTGGCCCTGCTCTATACTGGACTCGCTTTCAGCAGGTTAGGGTTTGAAAAAGGAAATCATAACTGTGTAACGTATGTCTTGTCTACTTTTTGAAAAATAAACTTTCGTGTCAATTTAATATTTATGTTGACATATGATTATTGTCTAATGTTTCATAGTGAACCATTTTTAGCCCAACTGTTTGAAAAACGAGTAAGGGCTATTTTAGTCACTTGGTCGTCTGTTCTCGTAAAACACTTCGTTTTGCATATGTTTTGTGTGTAACTTCCTACCTCAGAATTCATTATGATTGTGTTACGGGGAACATAATCTAAACACCTTTAACTTTAAACTATATTTTGATTTATATAATTACATGTATGCCACTTAGTCAACTTGATTTGAAGCAGTCATGTTTAAAATGATAATTTAAGTTTACAATATATTCTTATCAAATGAGCATAATAATGCCGAGTTATGGATCATTAAGAACATTTCAGTAATTAAAACAAATAACTTACAATTATTTTTAAAATTTAAAAAAATGTAACATTTGTTCGACCATAATACCAATAGTGTATCCACAGGTAGCAGACGACAATACAATTTAAAGTGGAAATTTGCGACTTCTGGTGTGTCTGCTACTCGATGTTGTGATCTCAGTTACTTCCCCTGACGTTCAGTATATGAAATGAGGGTCGAGGTAAGATATTTTGAAGAAATACAAAATTTAGCTAAACATAGAACAATACATTTTACAGATAAGGGTTTGTGAGTCGCTGATTACACCTTTAACTCTGCAAAATATTTTAAATGGACTTGTCTATCTTCAAATCTGGACAAAACCATTACTCATTTTAAGGGAAAATTTCAAAATATGTACTGACTTAATATCGAATAGTGCATATCATGAGCAGATGTCAAGGATATGCCGATTGCTTTTGGTCTGCAATGGTCGCACGGGTACATGTATATTATGTTTGCACTATAGAAGGCTGAGAGTTAATCAACATATTGTACCACACAAAATAATCAGAAAGAACTGATTACAGTTCATTAATAATAACAACTTTTAATTTGGTACAATGTTTGTATTTTGAAAGCATGTTAATTTCAGATGGAACATGACTTTTTGTTATTATTGTTGCTTTTCTAGAAAAAAAAATGAACTGAACATAATATAAAGAACTATTCTTTCCGAGATCACTCGCTTCCTTAAAGTATAACAATCTAAATACAAAAAATATACATTCAATAACTAAATTCAAGAATATGTAAATTAGTGATCGTGCCGAAGGAAGGAAGATAATTATGAATGTATTACAAATAAGGGAGATAAAATATCTCTTATTATAATTATACTATAAAATATCATAATTATTACTAATGCATAATGTGTATTTTGTAATGAACTGGTGACTTTGATTGTGGCACTCCGATAACATCTTAATTTTCAATCTATAAATAGATAATTTATTTATCCTATATTTCAGTTTCAGGATTTGAAATTAAGAAAGAACGAAAGATATGAAATGAGCACCGGCAAACTGATCTTGGCATGTTACATCCTTATCACAGAACTGGAACCTACTGATTATGATGAGGTAATAGTATATTTTATGAATGTATGTATAGATTTGATTCTTAGCCTGCTGAAAGCGAAAGTCATTAGTCTTTGCCTCCAGAATAGAGCCCGGCCAGTCTGCACATTTGTGCAGTTTGACCAGCCTCTTTACTGTTTGCTAACTTCCAATTTTCATTTTCATGTGATAATTAGATATAATAATTTATAATTTATAATGGACTGTTCATTAAATAAAATGTTGAAAAGCCCATTTAATAATTTCCGCAGGTTAAAGCAGCACGCCTCCAGATTTATGCTAATTTTCATGAACATATTTCTCAAGTTTGATTTTATTGAAATACTTTTACTCATCTGGAGGCATGTAGCTTTAAAGCAGCATCCATCTAGATTCATGCCCATTCTTCATTTAAATTTTGAAAATGTATCGAAAAAAGAAAAATATTGTGTAGTGAACAAGGAAGTAATTTACACATTACAAACAGCATTTACAGTCTACTTAAATTACCAAAAAAGGCCAAAATATACAATAATAGCCATTACTGCGTTAGTCACGCAGTAGAAATATGGTAATAAGAACTGCGACTTCGGTCGTTAAAGACATTTAGCGCATAAATAATACTTGAATCTTAAACCTTTTTACTTCTCTTAAAATCTGAGTACATTTTTCTTTTTGTTTTTTTACTTGAAATAGTTTTGGTTCATCTGGAGGCGTTCAGCTTTAAGGCTTGTTTATAGCTCTTGAATGAGACGTGTATTCATTTGGTTCTGAAACAGTACGGCATTGTGAAAATTGTTGCATGTTCGGGTTTGATAAAAAAAAAATCTTTGCTTAACACAGAAGCAGTTACCGTAATTGTTCTTATTCAGTATTGAATTGCTTTGGCTAAGTAAATACATATACACCTACACTGGTATCGAACATTTTTCTTCATTATTCAAATTTGATTCAAATTTGATAAAACTTTTGAAAGTTTTAGTGATAATAAAGGGCGTCCGTAACCGAGTGGTTGAATGAATTAATTGACTTCAAATCATTTTCACCCCCCCCCCCCTTCTTTCACTATTATGGGCATCGACTTTGAATTCATGAATAGTTTCATGTGCAGAGATGATCTACAGAGGTGATCCACAGCAAGCTTAATTGGCAGAGAAAATTGGTGGTTCTACTCGAGTGCCCCACCGTGTCTAACATAATTTATAGAGAGCTATTTTGGACTTTCTTCCGCCAGTAAAGCTGAAAAATTATTATTGTACCGTCGAGACAGTAACCATTCACCTACTAAATTAGTGTAATGGATCTGCCCTGCATTGAATTTGAAACAGTCCATTTGAAGTTCATGGGATTTCAATAACAAAATAAAAATTTGAGCAGACGATAATATATAGCCTGGACACGAAGTGCACGGACCAATAGGTAAAGGGTTAAACCCAACCAGAGTAATTGAACCATTGCAGTTAAGAATATACTAGAAATAATAAGAGAATCGTTAAATGACATCACGTGAATAAAAGCTTTATGACCACTATTTGAGTAAGACGTAATTATTTGTTTGTTGTATTCCTGAATTCTATTATGTGCATTTTTGAATAAAAGTAATAACATTTTTTTTTTAATTTGGTGGTTCAACCCGTGCGTCTGCTGCCTTTTGCAAGTGAAACGCAAAGTGTTACAAGTGATATGAATATTTTATACATTATGCAAGTTAAATGTTGATGCACATCAAAGACGCCGCCAAATGATGTGAACAGTCAATCAGCATTGAAAATCGTTCTCTATTACAGTTGAATATCCGAAGCACAAATCAATTTTTCTCCATGTTCTTGGTATGTGCTCGTTGTTTAATAATTAAGTTGCATATTTTTGTGAAAAAATAGAACCTAATGCATAAATTCACAAGGTAATGCCATGTCTGAAATTCTAAAATGTTTGTCTGGTGCCACAAAGATTGAAACGTCTGGTCAAAGCAAAATAAATCTTTGTTCATTTTTTTTCTGAAGAGTTATTTCTTAAACGGTTTGTTTGCTGGTCTTAAGGTGTGCAGCTTTAAAGGCCCAATATGCCCCACAAAATGTTTTTATTTTTATATCTGGAAAGCTTTTTGTTTTTGGTATCCTATTATAGTTTCAAAAGGTCATTTATCTGAATAATCTTTTGCGTGTCATTGACAGCCAAAATTGACCAATCAAAAATTGCATCAATTAGATAATTGACAAAAATAGATTAAACACCGAACAATAACAATCAAGCAGACACAGTTAGGCATTACTCATTTCGGAAGATTATTTTTTTCCCTTTCTTTTTCTAGTAGATTACATTAGGTCATTATAATAAATATATATTTACATGTAAAATATTCATACAGTGTTGCCCTCACATGTTTACGTGACTGTTTATTATTATACAAATGTATTTGTCTCATGTTTTTGTATTGTAATGCAAACTGGGATATATATTCAATAAAACTTGAAACTTGAAACTTGTTTTAGTGATGTAATATTTTGTGTGAAAGTTAAAATACTGCTGTGTTTACATTTTGCGACCTTTAAAACAAATATTTTCACATTCAGCCATACTTTATTTTGAAATAAGCATCTAACATGTTTTAAAGCATTATTTGAACTTAATAATACTCATGTTTGCACTGCCTAATGTAGGAAAAAAATATTAGTTTCTGAGGCATAATGTGCCTTTAAGGAAAAACAGTTGATTCTAAGTTGAATATAATTTTTACAAAGCAGGTGTATCGGTGATCTTTACATTTCAGAAATATGGAACATGGTAAATTGAGCAGGTGAAGGAATGAAGAAAACACCACCCTCTTTACAGTCAGCAAAATAACTATGTTTCCGGTTTGGAACTACTGCATGCCGTTACAACATATGTGACAAAGATATTTTAATCCACCTGATACGATTTGGTATCTTTCTGAAAATGTCATGTTCAAATTCTGAATAGTGTTTTTTTCTGCCAAGTTTAAGAAATATATTGCCATGTAACTGTCTAATATTTATGGCAATTATGAAGTAATAGTAAGTTTTTGGCGAAGTAATGAAAACCAGAAAAAGGTGTTTCCTCGATTAGATTTTCTACATGAGCTTGAAAAAATAACACCTTCATGAATGCCTTGATGTGAACAGAATAGAAGGGATATTTTATTTGCTTTTTACATAGTACATCATATTTAACATACTGTACCGTCAATGAATTGAAATTGCATAAATTAGTATAATTGCAATAATGAATAATGCACTTTTTGATCAGGAATGCACATTTATTAAGACTTAATATATATGCAAACATACTGTACCGTTAACATAATAGCAATACATGTAGTAAAATTGCAGAAATGAATGATGCGCATTTTTTACACTGTATATTTCAAGAAGTGTAATAAGTAACATTTAATTGTTAATAAAGACATATAGGCCGTACAATGAGAAATAATGATAATTTAACAACGTCGTGATAGAAACATCCATTTGAAATTTCGTAAGATTTATAATAATAACACCACCAAGAATATCACCACTACCACCAAAAAACAACATTAATGTAACATAATGAAAACTCCAACGATGAAATATTTCATCATTTAAAAACATGCAATGATGAAAAAATGAAATAAAATATTAAAATAATTGTAATAACGACATGTTGATCAACCTTGAGTATCCGACGATGCGTGCGTTAATTGTTTTGTTTTGTTTTTTGTTAATTTTTTTATTGTTGTTTTCAGCTTTTATATGATCTGACAAAAAGTTAAAAAGGGAGATGGGGGCTAGCATCATTTAGCTTTTTTTGTTCGCTTTTAATACGTTATTCTATCAATTTTTTAACTTTACTTGTCTATTTTAATTTTTTAAAGTTTTTTTAATTAATTAATTAATTTATTCATTTATTTATTTATTTATTTATTTATTTATTTATTTATTTATTTATTTATTTATTTATTAATCTTTCTATTTACTTATCTTTATTTATCTGTTTATTTATTTATTTATGTATTGTTTTGCAAATTACGTCAAGCGAAAAGGGAGGCTACTTGTTTTAAAATACAGATTGATCTCCCCTGAAAATTCAAATAATAAGAACGGGCCAAAGGAGACTTCTCTTCATTAAAACAAGTATAAAATGATAAAAAAAGTCGTTTTCCCGTCAGTTTACACTCCATTACCACTTGTTATTTTTTTCTAACTGATAACTCTCACACATCTTCGGTACTAACATTAACTTTTGGGGAAAATGACTTTCATAATGCTACTGTAAAACTTCCAACAAATATCAATCAAAAGTAATAGCATTTGGTTGTGAAAATTTAGCCGCAAAAGGCATAATGTTTAATTATCAATAGGGAGAGAAGTCGCCTTTTGGTCCACTTTTTCAGGGGTGGTTACTGTTATTTAATTAAGAGTGGTCTCCCTTTGGTCATATTTGCTTTTACAAATCTTTCTGCAATATTAAATTTAACATCAAAAACAATTTAAAGGAACACACTTTAGTCAAAATTGGATACTTCCTGTTTTGCAAGTATACAGAACTTGAAAATTTCAACCAATTTTAGAGTAGATTTAATGATTAATTCTTTGATTAGAATCTTTTCACTTAGTACATATAAAAATATGAAAATACTATAGACCTAGTATCTTTACTTATAGAATCACGATTTTTTAAGTGTTATTTAAAATAGTTGGCTATAATTTGTGTCACGGGTAAAAAGAGGGTAAACCATTAAAATTTTGTTTACTAGTTTATATATATCTGGAATACTTTAAAGAACAACATTTGACATATTAAATCTGTCTTGTATCTTGGAAACTTCTTTGCGTTTGTAAATATTTCTTTAAACAGATTTTAAAAATCGATTTCAGTTCTGGAATATTTAAAATATCTAAACATTCTTAAAATTCTAAATAATTCTAACGATGTCCTATCATAATATGTTTGTTAATATTTGGGGAAAAAATGAAATTAATTTGTGTCGTGGAAACTGCTTTACTATCTAAACGTCCATAAATGAAAAAAAACTTAGTTTTAATGAAGACCACTACTTGAAATGATTTAACTTGTGTTTGGAAAATCACTTGAAATATCTTAACTTAGTTTGATCCTGGAACAAAACTTTAAATATCTTAACATAAGTTGAGTTATGAAGAATAATTGAAATATCTTAACTTAATTGTGTCTTGAACAATAATTGAAATATCCTAACAAAGTTTGAGTTTTGGACAATACTTGAAATATCTTAACTGAGTTTGAGTGTGGAACAATAATTGAAATATCTAAATAAGCTTAAGTCTGGAAAAAATACTTGAAATATCTTATCTAAGCTTGAGTCTTGAACAATACTTTAAATATCTTAACTTAGTTTGAGGCTGGAACAATACTTGAAATATCTTGACTTAGTTTGAGTCTGAATCAATATTTGAAATATTTTAACTTAGGTTGTGTCTGGAACAACACTTGAACTATCTTAACTTAGTTTGATTCTTGAACAATACTTTAAATATCTTAATTAAGTTTGAGTCTTGAAGAATACTTGAAACATCTTAACTGAGTTTGAGGCTGGGACAACACTTGAAATATCTTAACTGAGTTTTGAGTCTGGGACAATACTTGAAATATCTTGACTTAGTTTGAGTTTGAATCAATATTTGAAATATTTTAACTGAGTTTGAGTCTGGAACAACAATTGAAATTACTTAACTTAGCTTGTGTCTGGAACAACACTTGAAATATCTTTACTTAATTTGAATCTTAACTTAGTTTAAGTCTGGAATATTAATTGAAAAATCTAAACTTAGTTTGAGCCTGGAACAACACTTGAAATATCTTAACTAAGTTTGAGTCTTGAAGAATACTTGAAACATCTTAACTGAGTTTGAGTCTGGGACAACACTTGAAATATCTTAACTTAGCTTAAGTCGTGAACAATATTTGAAATATTTTAATTGAGTTTGAGTCTGGAACAACACTTGGAATATCTATACTTAATTTGAGTCTTAACTAAGCTTGAGTCTAGAATAATAATTGAAATATCTTAACTTAGTTTGAGTCTGGAACAACTTTAGAAATATCTTAACTAAGTCTGAGTCTTGAAGAATACTTGAAACATCTTAACTTAGTTTGAGTCTTGAAGAATACTTGAAATATCATGACTTTACTAAGTTTGAGTTTGGAACAATAATTTAAATATCTTAGTTTGAGTCTGGAACCATACTTGGAATATCTTAACTTAGTTTGAGTCTTGAAGAATACTTGAAACATCTTAACTTAGTTTGAGTCTAGAAGAATACTTGAATTTTTTTTAACTTTGTTTGAGTCTGGAAAAAAATTCAAATATCTTAGTTTGAGTCTGGGACAATACTTGAAACAGCTTAACTTAGTTTGCGTCTGGAACAATACTTGAAATATCTTACCCTAGTTTGAGTCTGGAACAACACTTGAAATATCTTAACTTAGTTTGAGTCTGGAAAAACACTTGAAGTATCTTAACTTAGTTTGAGTCTGGAACCACACTTGAAATATCTTAACTTGGTTTGAGTCTTGAAGAATACTTGAAACATCTTAACTTAGTTTGAGTCTTTGAGAATACTTGAAATATCATAACTTTACTTAGTTTGATTTTTGAACAATAATTTATATATCTTAGTTTGAGTCTGGAACAATACTTGAAATATCATAACTTAGTTTGAGTCTGGAACAATACTTGAAATATCTTTTCTTAGTTTGAGTCTTGAAGAATAGTTGAAATATCACAGCTTAGTTTGAGTCTGGAACAATAATAATATTGAAATATCATAACTTAGTTTGAGTCTTGAACAATACTTGAAATATCTTTACTTAGTTTGAGTCTTGAAGAATAGTTGAAATATCATAACTTAGTTTGAGTCTGGAACAATACTTGAAACATCTTAACTTAGTTTGAGTCTTGAATACCTGCATTTACTAATTGAGTGCAAGAAAGATATGGTTTACATGTACTTTAAACATGATATGCTAAAATCATAATTCATAAGTGCTTTCCGCGCCATAGATAGCACCTAACTTCATATTAAATATTGTATCATGCAACAGTTTTGCCTTTTATGCAGTTGATTGATATCATTGATTTTGTAAACAAAAACAATTACATGTATTTTTGTATGTAAATTATTATGAAAAACGATGAAATAGAACTGGAATTAAAAAAGATTTTTCTGAACGTGTTAAGTTATCTTTCCTCAATCTTTATTATTAAGTTATTAGGTTATTAAGCTTAAATTATTAATCCAGACAGAGTAACCTCCCCTGTTGAAAACAAAGGGAAATCACTCTAACCTTAAATTATTAAGTCAGATAGAGTAACCTCCCCTGAAGAAAAAGGGTAATCACTCTAACCTTTCATTATTAAGTCAGATGGAGTAATACCCCCTGAAAACAAAGGGAAATCACTCTAATCTTTATTATTAAGTCGGAAAGAGTAACATCCCTTGAATAAAACAAAGGGAAATCACTCTTACCTTTCATTAAGTCAGACAGAGTAACCTCCCCTGTAGAAAAAAAGGGAAATCACTCTTACCTTAAATTATAAAGTCAGATAGAGTAACCTCCCCTGACCAAAACAAAGGGAAATCACTCTAACCTTCCTCTATTAAGCCAGATACAGTAACCTCCCCTGACCAAAACAAAGGGAAATCACTCTAACCTTTCATTTTTAAGTCAGATAGAGTAACCTCCCCTGAAGAAAACAAAGGGAAATCACTCTTACCTTTCATTATTAAGTCAGATAGATTTACCTCCCCTGACCAAAACAAAGGGAAATCACTCTAACCCTTTTTTATTAAGCCAGATAGGGTAACCTCCCCTGAAGAAAACAAAGGGAAATCACTCTTACCTTTCATTATTAAGTCAGATAGAGTAACCTCCCCTGAAGAAAACAAAGGGAAATCACTCTTACCTTTCATTATTAAGTCAGATAGAGTTACCTCCCCTGAAGAAAACAAAGGGAAATCACTCTAACCTTTCTTTATTAAGCCAGATAGAGTAACCTCCCCTGAAGAAAACAAAGGGAAATCACTCTTACCTTAAATTATTAAGTCAGATAGAGTAACCTCCCCTGAAGAAAACAAAGGGAAATCACTCTAACCTTTCATTATTAAGTCAGATAGAGTAACCTCCCCTGACCAAAACAAAGGGAAATCACTCTAACCTTTCTTTATTAAGTCAGATAGAGTAACCTCCCCTGAAGAAAACAAAGGGAAATCACTCTTACCTTTCATTATTAAGTCAGATAGAGTAACCTCCCCTGACCAAA